TGAAAATAAGTGTGAAGCATTACATATGCTTGGAAATTTCAGTTTTTAAAAAAATCCCACATTCTTATTTTTACTTCTCTGGGGGTCTCCCCCCACCCCCAGCTGTTGCTCTACAGAAAACAAGCTCTCCCATTTTTGCTCGTTTCAGATGCTGCGCATTCTCGGAGCCATCTGGAATGGAATGGGCGTTCATTTGTGCCTGAGTGTGCTACACACACACACACACACACACACACACACACACACACACACACACACACACGGGGGCCTTCGCGCCTCCTCCAGCCTCCTGCCTTTGTGTCGTTGCTCTGTGGTTAGTGGCTTAGGATTCGCCTGACACTCACAGAGAGATAGGTGGCTAATGTGGCGGCACACAAGCTCCGTTCCCTGGAGGCTGGATGTTATTGGAAACAGTGCCTAAGGTTATTGTAGGGGAGAAGAGATTCCACAAACTAAGAGAAATGTCAGGATTTAAAACTAACATGTATCAGTGTGTCCAAAGTGCAAAGCTACAAGCTACAGAGTTTACGGGAATTGTCTCAAATAAGTGCTATAATAACCCTGTGACATTAATGTCATCACCATCTGACAGAAAACTCAAGGTCATCTGAGGCTTGGAGCTGATTCTGATGCACTTAACCAGCCCACGAAGTGCAGATGAAAACCAAGTGCTGCTTCTTGCAGAACTTTTTCCTCCAAAGTAGAAATATCTTCATCATTTTGCTAACTACAACAAAGTAATACATCCTCACTGTGAAGTATTAATTGACACAAAAATACATGAAGAAAAAAGTAGATGCCCTTCTCCGTAATCTCCCTCTTCACAGACTTCAACACACACTTTTTAAAGTACCCAATGTCCTCTTCATGTTCCCCAGTGACGCCCTAGTACATGTCAAGGAATACCTGGCAAACGGTTATTACTATAACTCCGGCAGCGGAACTGGTGGCTCAGAAGGTATGAACATAAACATTTGGGTCATACATTAAAATGGACAAGTTATTAATTTGTCTCAACCTTACCACTCAGTGAAGGTAGGCTCTTCTATTTCTGGTGACAGTTGAATTAGTATAGCTTTAAAGCAATTTGTTAACATATATTGAATGACTTAAAAATGTTCAGTGTTCACATTTATTACCTTATATCAATTTCATTGATGAGAGTCTGTCCCAAGGAGATAAATAAATGCAAAAGCAATATGTAACATCTTGATAGCCAAAATTTTGGAATAACTTAAATATCCTTCAATAAGAGAATGGTTAAATAAATCATAAAAGATGAAGACCCTCCCCTTGCTGGAATAATATAGAACCATTTAAAATGATGGTTTGAAGTCTCTAACAATGTGAAGGAAATCCTTAGAACATAAAGTCAAATGAAAAAATCAACCCGCAAACATATATACTGTGTGATTACAATTGTGCAAAGAGAAATTATAAAGAAATAATAGCAGGGGCTGGGGATTTAGCTCAGCGGCACAGCTCCTGCCTGGCAAGCGCAAGGTCGTGAGTTCAATTCCCGGTACCAAAAAAAAAAAAAAAAAAAAAAAAAGAAATAATAGCAAAACAATATCAGTGACTATATAAGTATGTTGGGATTAATGTATTTTTGTTTTGTTTTGTTTTTGTGGTACCGGGGACTGAACCCAGGTACTTTACACTGAACTGAACTACATCCCCAGCTCTTTTTTTTTTTGAGACAGTGTCTCACTAAATTGCTATGTGCCCAGCTGGGCTTGAACTTGTGATCCTCCTGCCTCAGTCTCCCAGAGTGCTAGGATTACAGGCATTACCACCACACCCAGCTGTGGTTTTTCTTTTTCATTCTTGTCTGTAATATAGCTTTTTTGTTTTGTTTTGTTTTGTTGAGACAGGGTCTCACTAGTAGTATAGGCTAGCCTTGAACTTACTTATGTAGCCCAGGCTGACCTTGAACTCATGGTGAGCCTCCTGCCTCAGCCTCCCAAGTGCTGGGATTACAGGTGTGCTCCAACATGTCCAGCAATGTAGGTTATTTTTGTAGTAAAATGTATTTGTCAAAAGGTTGAAGATAGAAATTATCAAATGACTCTGCTTCCTTTCTTCTGTCTGGATCTGAGTTTCTACTTCTTTTTTTGTTTTGTTTTTGTTTTCTTGGGACACAGGGTCTTGCTTTGTAGTGCAGTCTGTCCTTGAACTCATTATGTAGCCCAGGTTGGCCTCAAACTCTTTGGAATCTTCCTGCCTCAGTCTCCCCAGGGTTGAGATCACAAGCATGTTCCACGACACCCAACTTTAGTTTCTACTTCTAAAGTAAAATAGTTGCTGGGTATAATGTCATACACTCATAATCCTAGCAACTGTGAGAGGTTGAGACGGAAGGATTTTGAGTTCAAGGCCAGCCTGGATCGCTTAGTAATTTAGCGATCCTCAAAATAAAAATAAAAATTTAGCTACCTCAAAATAAAAAGGCCAGGGGCTGGGGATTTAGCTCAGCGGCAAAGCGTCTGCCTGGCAAGCGCAAGGTCATGAGTTCGGTTCCCGGTACCGGAGAAAAACCAAAAAAATAAAAAAAAAAAATAAAAAATAAAAAGGCCAGTACCACAAACATACACACACACATACACACAGAGACTAAAATTCGATGGCTTCTAAATCATCCCACTGGTAGTACTATATATTTTTTAATATTCAAATGACTGCCGCTAACTGAAAGCCAACATTTAAGCCAGGTTTGGTGATGCATGTTTGTAATCCTAGCTACTCACGAGGCTGAGGTAGGAGTATCATTTGAGCTCAGGAGTTTTAGACCAACCTCAACAGCACAGCAAGACTTCATGTCTCTGTCTCTGTCTCTGTCTCCCTCCCTCTGTCTTCCTGCCTGCAGTACTGGAGATTGAACCCAATGTTTTGCACATGCTAGGAAGCAATTGCTACTGAGCTACACTCCCAGCCCAAGATGCTATTTATTAAAAAATACAAAAAACCTAAAATTTGGTTATCACACTGAATATGAACAGCTAGGACTAGAATGTGTGTTCTTTGGCTGTTAGTTTAGATGCTGCCTACATGTATCAAAGTATCCACACACATTCATTCAAAGAAGAAAACAGAATGCTAGCAAGTGCAAGTTGCGATTCCCAGTTTTGGTACTGGGAATCCCAGAGTTCGATTCCCAGTACCAAAAAAAAAGAAAACAGAATGTTGTTGGCTCTGCAGAGACACAGCCTTTATTTAGGCTGTGTCCCCACTGGGAAATAGAGGGTCCCAAGCTGGAGGTTTAGGCAGTGACTTCCTGGCTCATCCTCACTTGGAGGGCTATGTCCCAGTCTGGCTCCCTCATTCCCTGAATGGCACCTTTGATTCCAGTGGCGTGGGTGGCTCTCCCGTGGCTGCCCCTCACCCACTCCCAGCAGTGGTAGGACATGGATGGAAACTTTCCTCGGCTAGGTGGAGAGATCCTTGATGGTGAGGGCTGGGGTTTTATTCCAGGATCAGAACAAGGAATGAATGGGTGACTGAGTGGGTTACGAAGTGTGAGAGTGAAGACGGCGCATTGCACAGGGGGTGCAGTAGGCTTTCAGTGGACCTGTGAAGTCAGTGAGTCTCGCAGTCAGAGGTGTGGCTGTGGAGGAGAGCGGGAGGGGAGAGAGGAAGCGGGGCCGAAGGAATCGCTCTCCCGGTGCAGCCTCCGTCAGAGCCCTGAAAGGGGCTGAGTGGGCTGTGACTCAGCTCTCTGACTCACGCACTGTGCTGCGGCTCCGTCCTCTGGGCCATTGAGCTCAGCCGGGCATGGAGGAGGGTGAGATGGGGCCAGCTGCTCCAGATGACTCACTTGTCTGAGCTGGAAGGAAGGGACCAAAGGCCCCCGCTGCTCGCCCCATCACCCCCCTGCCTCCGTCCCCAGGGCTTCCCATGCAAAGTCCGACCTCAGGGGTAGATTCTGGGTGCTCCCTTAATCATTTCCCACTGCTGCTCAAACTGCCATTTCCCTGGTTCCTCACATGCTCGTCTGTAGAGCTGCCAGCAGGCACCTGAGGTAAGCTTAGGAAGGGCCTCGTGAGGCTCTTCCAGGCCACTTGTCATCCTGTTCTTCACCTCTCCCTAAAACTTTTTTATATCTCTTTTCTCATTTGATTCTTTCTGAAACCCCGAGAAGCTGGCAGGGCGGGGCATACCACCATGTTGCAGGGAAAGACCTGGAGACTCCAGGAGGCAAAGGAACCATTATCAGGATTCCTGAAGGGCAGCAAGGCGCAGAGGATGGCACACAAGGGCGGAGTGGCTTGGGGGCTGGCAGGCATTCATTGGCCAGTGGGTTGGGAAAGAGGGACAGGGTGGACCCATCTGTGGCATGACAGGAAAGATGGCTGTGCGGGAGTAGAAGACAGATGAGATGTTCTGACTTTATCCCAAGATGAAGGGGAGCCATGGAGGGATCGTAAGCAGGGGAGAGATTTGGCTTTGAGAAGCTCATCCCTGGTGTAGTGTGGGCAGGGATGGGGCAGGCCACTGGGGGCTGTCCCCAGAGTCTAGGTAAGAGCCAGAGAGGATGGCCTGTGAGCCACAGCAGAGGAACAGCAGGGAAGAACAGTGCCTGCAGGTCTTCAGGAGGAGAAACAGGAGCTCCTGGGCCAGTGTGCAGCAGGCAGTAGATGACAGGGGTCTGCAGCTATCGTCCCTGAATATTGTATGTATTTATTGTATTGTGAAGGGGGCTGGAGCACTAAAGGTGCTGCTGGTCACACATAGGTGTGACTCCAGCCAATCGGCAGGCGAGGTGACTCAAGGAAGAGGGGTTTCACAATGGACACCAACTCTGAAGATCTGAGCAGGGCAGGCACAGCCCCTGTGACAGTACCCTTCTCAGGGGAGCACACTGTAATGGCAGAGCACCTGGCCACCTATGATCTGCTTTGATGGGGACGAGGCTGTGATTCTCACCTCACAGAGGTTCACGGTGAAAAGACCCAAGGGACCCCTGGTTCTGCCCTCTGTCACTGTCCTCTTTCCTCCCTCCCACCAGGACTGGGATGCATAGGTCAACACACCCAGGAACTGGGACATGGCCCGGCAGGCAGCCAGGAAGGGGCCTCCATGGGTTCTCGGAATCTCTAGTAGGGTGTGGCAGCTTTGGGCTCTGGGAAGGGGCTGGGCTCCCCAACTTTTTTAGCTTTGAAGGATTGTGGAGGCGGCAAGGCCAGACACCTAGATAAACTTGAGTTTCAGAAAAACCAACATACCTTTTGTGTAAGTATATCCCAAATATTCCACAGGACATGCTTGTATTTTAAAAGTATCTTATACTTACTTGAAATTGATATCTCACTGTGTCTGTCATATATTTATAATTTGACAACCTACTTTCTATGCCTCACTATCCCTGCGAACCAAGGCCTTGGGGAATTGCTGCATCTGGAGGAGTGGTGGTGACCCTATGGCATGTGTGTTATTGTATGTTTCTTTTAAGACAAAAAGATGTCCATGTATGAGTTGTTTTTCCTGTACTAAAACCTCAGTGTTCAGGTTTAATGGCAGCATTGGCACTTTGTGATAATAAGTGGGTTTCGGTTGCATTTGTGCACGCAGTTTCTAAAAGGTTGACCATCATGATCTAGAGGAACCCTGGGATGAATCAGTGTCCTCATGTCACACCTGCCCGGAGACCCCAAATGGGCTTGGAGTCGCATGGTCATGGCCTGTTCCTGCTGGCTCTCTAGTGTCTGGTTCCACCTAGCAGTCGTCTAACTCAAGCTACTCTGGCTTCCACATGCCAATGTCTCTGTTCCTGGATGGAAGGAAGCTGCCACTCTGATCATGTAACCTAACAAAGGAGGGGACCAGAGCTTTCCTCCTCTGGCCAGCAGCATCTGCCAAGGGGTCACATCCATGTCCTCTAGGTAGGCCAGCAATCTGAGCCCTCAGTGAGCCAGAGCTTGTCCTGAGGGGCTGGGCTGGTGGGCTGTGGAGGGGATGGAGCTGAGCTCTGCCCTCGGCTGTGCAGTAGAGGTCTTGGGTTGCCTGGTGCTTGTTTGTTCAGAGACTTGCTGTTACCAACTAGCAGCACCTCAGCAGCCTGGGCTCTATGGAGTTCAAGGAGCTCACACACATTGGGGCTGACTGGATGGAGCCTCACTGGATCCTATCTGAGGGCCAGGGGATGCTCGAGGCAGAGCATCCCCTGGCCCTTTCCATTGTAGGAGGCAGGCCCAAAGCCCTGCTGTTAGAACCAGGCTGACACATCTGAAGCCCAGACAGGAGAGAAGCTGGTGGCCACTCTCACTGGTACATCTATCTCTACCTATCCCAGACATGGAATGGGCAGTGGGATTTTTTTCTTTTTATGGTAGTGGGGACTGAACTCAGGGCCTTCAAACTGAGTTACACCCCCAGCTCTCTTTTAGTTTTTATTTTGAGAAAGTGTTTCCCCGACTGCTAAATGGCCCATACTACACTTGAACTTCCAATCTACCTGCCTCAGCCTCCCAGAAGGCTGGGATTACAGAGACGGTATATCACACCTGGCCTACAGGCAGGGGGCTCTTGATGTGGACTTGCCAGGGCAGCAGGACAAGGAGCTGGGTGTGTTGCAGATGTGGAAGGACATGGAAGTAATGAAGAGAAAGATGACAAAGCCCAGGACTCCCAGCTTCTCAGCAGGGGCTCAAGATTTTAGTGCTGAGCTACCAGGGCTGGTAGCCACAGCAGGGCCTCTGCGAATGTCAAAGTCGACTTTGTGAAGGGAGAGGAAGTGTGTAGGGCAGAAACTGCAGGTGTGGGGCTGTATATAGTCATTCCACACACATTTCCTGAGCTTCTACTATGTGCCAGCCAGCATTGTAGATCTTGCAGAGATAAGAGTGAGGAAAACGACATGCACGTGCAGACAGGTGCACACAGACAGCCCTCTTGCTTGTGAGGTCACTGTTTTGACCCTAGCCAATTAATGTAAATCTCAGCCCCTTGGCCACTTCCAGAAGTCCTTTTCCACCAAATATGGCAGCAGAAGCTTAGGTTTACCAAAGAGGTACTGGGTCACCATGAGGCCATGGCTCTTCCCATAGCCTGGCTTGTCTCGCTGCAGAAGACCCTTCTCCCAAGCTCTCTTGGCCAGGCAGCTGTCATGAGGTCTCCTTCCTCCAGCAGCGCCCCCCCGTCCCGTGCTTTTCTCATTTAGAGCGGAAGTTTCCTCTCCAAAAGGACACAGGCTCTTCTTCCAGGGTCATGCCTTTCTGAAATAAGGCTTGCTGTCTGCATCCCATTTCTACTTCTCAGTATTATTCTGCTGCAAGATGAGCTCACATCTGAGAAGGGCTGCACTCAAAACCTCTAGCATGGTGGTCACCAGAGGATTGGGCGAGAGATTCTTACCTGAGGGAGCTGATAACGCCCCTCAGGTAAAGCTTGAGCCATACTCCCCACTTCTGCCTTGCTCTAACTTAGTGCCTTGTTTTTACTCTTTTGTTAATAAAATAAAACAATATACACACTATTGCAAAAGAACACTAACAGCCTGTGTTTACATGTTTATGTTGTATCTGTCTCTAAGAAGCAGAAACTGCTATGTGAATTTTTGACAAAATGAGTTTTCACTCAGTGTTAGGGGGGTATGAGAATTAAAAACAAAAAGGGAGGGCAAAGTCTTCCAATATGTCTTTTTATTCTCTCTCTCTCTATCTCTTTCTCTGTCTCTATTTCTCTCTCTACCTCAATCTCTCGCTGTCTGTATCTCTCTGTCTCTCTGTGTGTCTCTCTCTGTCTCTATCTCTGTCTCTATTTCTCTCTGTGTGTCTCTGTCTGTCTGTCTGTCTCTCAGTTGGCCTGTCTGAACCCAACTCTGACAAGGCCTAGGCAGTAAAACTGAGTTCTAAGATTGCGTTCACTCTGGAAGAGTCCACCAGGAAGTCTAATAACTGCTCATTCCATCTGCTATTCCCAGCGGCTTGGTTCCCTGCTCTGCCCTTCCTTTCCTCCCAGAGAAGGACCTCAGGGGTACTCTAAGCCCCGCTGAATATGGTCCATGGGGCGAGGGGTGTGTGAACCAAGAGAGGAGAAGAAGGAGAGAGAAGAATAGTGAGAATCAGTGTGAGCTCTGGACAAGGATGATTGAAACTGGTTCTTTTTAAAATACATTTGAATCAGTTCAATCTTTTGGCTGAAAGTAACATAAACACAGCTGCCATTAACCTGAGTCCTAAAGAAGAAGGTGTTGGTTTTTCATAAGTTCCCCGAGGAGACAGCAGGGATGGACAGCTGGGTTAGGGAGTGGACACAGGACACATACTCAAAACTCAGCTGCCCTCTGGGTGCCGGTTCCTCCAGCACCTCTGAGGCCAGCGCCAAGCCAGCAAGAAGGAACTCTTTCCCACCAATTCCAATTAGAAGAGGCATTGGATTTCAAGAGTGGTAAACTGTGTTCTTCTCAAGGATTGGTGAAGAAATGGGAAGATGGAGACCATCATGCTCTGACACACTGCAAGAGGGAGGGTAGCTGGTCCCAGCCATGCTGGAGGGGGGTTAACAATATCTATTCTGATTTTAAATGTGAATTCTATTGATTTGTTGATGCCATGTCTCCAAATTCAGACCAGTTGGCCTCACACATGGGCCTAAGGAAACATATTTGAGGATGTTCCTTGAAATATTGTTTATAGTGCAAAATTAGAATAATCTCAATGTCCATATTCAAATCTTGACATGTTGCATACTCTGTGAATGTGGAAACTACTCAAAAGAATGAAGTATGTACTAATATAAATCCCCAAGACATTTTGGTGAATGAGAAAAGTAATTTGCAGAATGACACACATACAATGTGGCCTCATTCAAGCATAAAAACAAACAAAAACCCCTTGAAATAATAGGTATTTTTAGGGCGTGGTGGCGCATGCCTGTAATCCCAGCACTTGGGAGGCTGAGGCAGGAAGATCGCTGTGAGTTTGAGGCCAGCCTGGGCTACAAAGTGTGCTCAAGTTCAGCCTGAACTGCATAGTGAGACCCTATCTCAAAAAGACAAAAAAAAAAGAAAAAAAAAGAAAT